GCGTAAACCTTGCTTGAGGACGCCTGAAAACAAACCAACAACAAAACATGAATCACATACAAATTCTGAGACCATCTCTGCTATTCAAATCCTATCAAAGCTAAGAGACAGTGAGGAGTTTTCAAGAACTAAGTATCCAATCTTCACAGGGCTATAAGAAACTACAATCAGTTTTCAGCATATGAATCAATCCTATCAAAGCTAAGAGACAGTGAACTAAGTATCAAATCTTCACAGGGCTATAAGAAACTACAATAATCATATGAACCAATCACAAGATAAGATTAGCTAAAATGGGGAAATTTTCAGAACAAAGTGAAGTTGAAACCTTTTCTTATTACGCTTAGCAGCATCACGAGTCCTTCGTTTCTTCTCGTCTTGTTTGTTCTCAAAGTATCTCCTACGTTTACATTCCTGTATAACTCCAGTTCTCATCACTTCTCTTCTAAATCGATTCACCAACCTCTCCTCTGACTCGTTATCTTCGACAAACACCTGGACATTGTATCCGGAACTGAAGAAGAGCGTGTTCGAGTAAGCAAGCGAAGGGCATATCACAGAGGAGATTTCAGAGGAAAGTGAAGAGGTAGAGGAAGGTGGTTCCTCGATCGCCATTGATTCGATAGTGAGATCATTTCTACGTCTTTGGGAAATCGTCGGAGAAGGAAGATGGAGATTCGGTGGAGGAGTAGCTTTGGTGGGAGATTTGAATGGAGAGATGAAGGAGATAAAGCTGGTGAGTGAGAACGAAGCCGCCATTGTCGTCTCTGCGATGAAGAAGACGAAGATTGAATTGTGGATAAGAATCAATTTTTCCCCAATTTTTAGGTCAGTGGATCAGTAACGGGTCGGTTACATATACGGGTTCGGGTATTCAAAATCGGGTGTAATAGTTATAGATGGGTTGTTTACGCTTTGGGCTACATTGGTTTTGAAGGCCCGTTATGTGTAATTTTTTTCTTCTTCTAAATGCTAAATATTTCATTAAAATTAAAAATAATAAGGTTAAGGTTTACAAGTCAAAAATATAGACCTATGCAATGGTTCT